GATTAATATGAGAATGTCAAATCAAAAAACTAAATTTTAACGAGTGCTTCGATTATTTGATGGTGTCATGGATGCTCTCTTAAGATACTCTTCTACTTGTTATTTATCTACTTTCGTCAATCATCTCTCGTTTATTCAAATTCATCTGACTGAACAGTTCAGCGTCCGTTGCTACAACTCAAAAACAAGATGCTATACAATGTATCAAGTTAACGTTTTATTTCTGTTGGTCTAAGATAAAAAATAGTCTAAAAACTGCAGCAATGGTATATGCAGTACAAACAATGAATATTATGGAAAATTAACACACCGTATAATGAAATAGATCTGGACATCTTTTTTTATTATTATTCTTGATTTTGTTAATTGAATATATTATTATTCATGGAAGGTCAGCTTGATCTAAGGAATCCAACAATGCTTAGGACGATGAAAAAAGTTGATACAATGAAGTAGGTCGAGGTATTTTTTATTTACTTCTTATTTTATTTATTGAGTACATATATTATTATTCATTGAAGGTCATCTTAATCCAACGAAACCTAGTAATGGGTATTGTGATAAAAATGGACGTTATTGTAAACTGAATCTATGTATCTCTCTCTATTTTTTTATCTAATATATTTATTATGGGTTGAAGGTTCGGTTGATCTGAAGAATCCGACAATGGCTATTATGGTGAAAAGAAAGGATACTATAAATTAAATTGGAATATTTTCTGATTTTTCTGATTTTACTTATTGAGAATATTAGAAATCATTAAGGCTCAAGTAATCTGAAAGAATTCAACAATGACTATAAATTGAATCGGTATCGTTTTGTTATCAATTTTATTTATTGAATACATATTTATTCTTTGAAGGTCAGATCAATCTAAAGCAGTTAGCAACAACAAATGTGTCTACCATCTGAAATTAAACTTTGACTTGAAATAACAAACTACACGTAACTATACTCACTATATTTTTTTTGCTTACTATGAACAGTACTATATTGTTCTAGTTTATATTAATATCTCATTTTTGTTTATTAGTTCACAAACAAAAATAGTTTTAGATTCAAAAGTATAGTATTATCAAATTTGAATACAACACGTTTTTTGTTGTTGCATAGAATGAGATGGTTTTTGTTTAGGTGTATGCAGGTATTTAAATATGTGCCTTTGAATACTTGAGAGTATAGATGTAAATCAAAACCGAATAATCAGATCCATTCGTTCGTTTTTTTATTAACACAAACTATTAAATGTTAAATAAAAAACTTAATAATTTAACTTTATCACAGAAAATTAAAGTTAAGAGCTAACCTAAAATTTTGACTGATCTGAAAAATTATCATTTTTATTTTAGATATAAAACTCTATTATATTAATCTACAAAATTAATATTTAATCAAGCATACTAATGTCAACTATAAATAATAATAGCACATCATTAGAACCAAATGATTTATGACATGCACTAAAAGAAACTCGTGATGTTGGTGGTGCAACACCAATTGATCGATTTGATCTTGAATCATTTACTGCTCATATGCATAATATGGATAATAATGGACTACTTCGTCAAAAAACTTCTTCGTGCTGGTTATATTTATGTCAAATCAACAATGGAATATGTCTGAAGCAAGTATTTTTGATTTATCAGATGCTGAAGCAGGAAGTGTCGATCCATGTCATCGATTACTTCTGTTAAAATTTGTTCATTCATTGGATGATGCTAGATATAGTATTGAAAAAATGAGTGGTACAAAAACATCAGTACATATCGGACAATTTTCAACAGATCATGCAATTGCAACAATTCGTATGAGACCTGAACATCGATCAAGATTTCATAGACCAAATACATTATTATATAATGCATCAGCACGTTTATCATATCGTTTTAATTTACAAGGTTCAAATTTATCACTAGATGTTACTTGTTTATCATCTTTAAGAGTTTTATATATGGCTGTGCAATATCTTCGTAGAAATGAAGCTGATTTGGCTGTATGTGGTGTCGATCATTTAGTCCTAATGCTAATGGTTATGCTAAAGGTAAAAAGTCAATTGATTAGTTTTTATTTCAAATTAAGTCTAAATTGTTTAGGCGATGGTCTTGGTCTTTTATTATTAAAACGATTAAGTGATGCTGAACGTGATGGAGATCGTATATATTATGTTATTCGTGATATATTTAGTGGTCATGATGGAAATGAAGATAAAACAAATCTTGTTGCATCATCAGCTGCTAGATAAGGACGTTTATTAGAAAATATTTATTCACGCAATAATTTTGATACTTGAAAAATCTTATTTGTTGAAGCACATGGCGCACAGGTACACCAGTTGGTGATCCAATTGAAGCAAACTCTTTACGTCGATTTTTTAATCGATCAAATCTTGATCCACCATTATTGTTAGGTTCAATTAAAAGTAATTTAGGATATACTGAAGGTGCAGCTGGTGTTGCATCACTTATTAAAGTTGCCATGTATATGTATTATCGTGGTATTACAGCAAATATGCAATTTACTTCACTTAATCCAAAAATAGAAGCACATAAATATAATCTACATATTCTTCAAAATTTTGTACCATTTCCAACACTTCCAAATAATGAAAAAATAGCTATTGGTGTTAATTCATTCGAAACGGTTGGTTCAACGACACATTCTATCATTGAAGAATATCAACCAAATAAAACATCAATTCAAAATGACCATATCGATGATGGAAATCATATTAAAAGCAAACAATATTTTATTTTTATTGTTTCAAGTAAGTTCTTTTTTCTTTTCATTCATTAAATAATTTATTTCTTCTTATTTAGCAAAGAGTCGTTAATTTCTCAATCATCGATTAATGATATAGATAATGATAATGATCAAACTTCTCTTCAACGTATATCTCAACAACTTCTTCTTAATAGAACTATTAGTTATACACATTCAGCAATCTTGATTCTTCTCAGTCATCAACAATTACAAGAACAAATCAATGCTTTTCTTACTAAAAAAAGCATTACCAGATCTTACAATCATCACGTCCAATAAAATTATTATCACGAAAAATATGTTTTGTTTTTAGTGGACAAGGTCCACAGTTATATGAAAGTGAACCTTTATTTAATAAATGGATTAATTTAATAAATGAAGAAATGTCAAAAATTAGCAATGATGAATGGAGATTATTAGAAGAATTAATTCAAAAGAAAAATGAAGAAGAATCTCGTATTAATGATACAAATATTGCACAACCAATGTTACTTGCTATACAAGTTGCATTAGCAGCTTTACTTGTTTCATGGAATATTTATCCATCATCAATGATATCACATAGTGCTGGTGATCAAGCAGCTGCTTTTGTTGCTGGTCGTTTAAGTTTAAAAGAAACTGTTCGTGTGTTACCTCTTTCAATGAGTGAAGAAGAAGTAGAAAACAAACTTGTGAAAGGTATTGAACATTTGGTTTGTATTGCTGTTGTTAATAGTCCTCGTTCAGTAACAATACGTGGTGATGAAAAAACAATTGATGAAATACAACAAATTCTTTCCATATCTTATCCAAATGTATTTAAAGCATGTGTTCATATTGAAAATGCATTTCATTCATATCAAATGAATCGATTTGATATTGAAAAAGAAATGCTTTCATCTTTGAAAGATATTCGAGGACTTCCAATACAAGATCAAAAGGAAAACTTTATTCAAGTATTGCTGATGATAAAATCAATGATAATATACCAGTTGATAGCCAAATGTAAGACAAACTGTTCGATTTTATGATGCTATAGTAGCAATTATAAAAGATGAAGCAGCCAATGTTTTTCTTGAAATTTCACCACATCCAGTTTTAGCTACATCTATTCGTGAATGTTATGAATTAACAAATCAACAACAATCATCACCACTTATTCTTCCAACATTAAAAAGAAAAGAAAATGAACAAATAACATTACTTACAACATCATCTCCTCATGTATGGCAACAATATTTTCATACTCGTCAAATTTTACCTATGAAAAATTATGAAGTATATTTTGATGATTTTCCATTATATAAATTTCATTTAATTCCATGTTGGTATGAATCAAAAGATTCATCTATACAACGTTTAGCTAATCGTATACCTACTCATCCATTACTTGGTATTCGTCAATTAAATGATCAAACAAGCGCAACATGGAAAAGTCTTGTTAATATTAATTTACCACAACATGCTTTCTTAAAAGATCATAAAATTCAAGATGCAATTCTTTTTCCAGCAGTTGTTTATCTTGAACTTGCAACAGCTGCTTGTTATCAATAACTATCATCAAAAAAAGATGATCAGCAACAACAACCAGCAATTATTTTTTTAGATGTTAAATTTGTTAACGTACTTATTCTGAATGAACATGAATTACTTGAAGTATTTATACAAATAATTATGCCAATGCGTAAATGGTATATTATATTTTGTAATCAAGATAATCTTAATAAATATTCATTAAATGAATTTACTTTACATGCTCAAGGTAAAATTGAAATAGATTATAAACAACAAAAATCATTAACAATACCTGATAGATGGACCATACAAGATATACGAAGTGCTTATGCACATCTTCCAGCACGTGCTTATCAATATGGATCTAGCTTTGGAAAAATCAAAACATTACGTGGTACTTCAACTACAATTATGAAATGATAATAAGAATTGTTCATCTTATTATTTACTGCATCCATATCTAGTTCTATTACCAGGTGTTGAAACAACATTTCTTCCTGTACGTATTCTAAAATTTATTTATTCAAGTAAAACAAAAACAAAAACGAATCAGTCAACAAATACTGAAGCACGTGGAATCTATCATGATAATATATGTGGCATAGGTCAAGAAGGAAAATATAGTCTTGATTTCTGAACATTTCCAATGGATAATAAAATCGAAGCACCAATATTTACATTTGAAAGTATTGTTATTCAACAGATTCAAGGTGTACATTCTGGTCGATGGTCAATGGAAAAAACAATTTATGATAAATTAAATCTAACAACTGATTTACCTAATACTGATCATAAAACATATTTAGATACAATTATAAAAGATTATTGTATGAAAAGAGTATGGACCGATTCATCAAAAATAAAACATATATCACATTTATTTCCATCACCTAATCAAATTCTTAATAATCAACTTAATTCCAATAGTAATCAAGATTTACTTCAATCAATAAAACCATTTAATGAATTAGCTGCTTATTATGCTCAAACGGCAATTAAAGATCCTGATTTAAATCAACAACATCATCCATTATTAAATGCATGTTGTTCTCTTGCTTCAACTTTACATTCGGAACAAGTAACATGGCATTCAACACAACTTCGTCTTATTCAATTAATTGAACGTTTTCCTCGTTTAAAACCATTTTTAATAATATTAAATAAATATGGTTTACATTTAAAAGATATTCTTAATGGAGAAAAAAATGGTTTAGATATATTTGTTGATGATGATGAGATTAAACAAATTTTTCATTCTATTTGTCAATATTTACATTTACAGTATGAGCAACAACAAACTAAAGATAATTCATTTGAGAATAATCGATGACGTATATTTTGGTTAACTGATAGTGATTGTTCGGATATTTTACCTATTCTTGATCTTCTTCTTAATTTATCACAACAAACAGGTTTATTAATTGATTTACATTATGCAGATTCTGATCCAACACAACTTGCAAATGCTCAACAAACATTTAATACACATATAACTAATCAAACAAATTTATCTATTATTTATGATGAAACAATTGATTTATATGATGGTAAAACACTTGAAAAAATACCAATAGAATCATTTGATATTATATTTTCTGCAAATCAACTTCTAGGAAATCAAGATTTAACAAATTCTTTAATTGATCTTCGTCGCTTACTTGTTCCTAATGGTCTTCTTTTATTACTTGAATTAGTTCATGTTCCTCTTTATTTTCATCTTATTTTTTGTTTTTTTGATCAATGGTGGTCATCTGATAATAATAATACTCGTGCATTAAATAATATTCAACAATGGACAACATTAGTTGAAACAAATCGAAGGATCTAATATTATTGAATCAACAATAAATGAAAATGAAAGTACATTAATTATTAGTCAAAAACCCACATCAAATGAAATATTACAAAGACTTGATGAACGAATAAATCAAACATGGTTAATATTTACTAGAAATGATAATAATAATACTCTATCATTATTATTACCATGTTCAAATATTGAAATTTTTGATATTCGTCATTCAACTTTAGATACTATTTGTTTTGGAATATCAGTTCTATTAACTACTTATAAACAAGTATCTATTATTTTTGCATGGCAACTTGATCAAGTATTACTTAATGAAAATAATCATGATTTAGTATTTAAACAAAATGAAGAACTTATATGTGGAACATTTTCACGTATTCTTCAAATAATTCAAAAATCATCACCATATTTTCATCCATTTGTATATGTTCTTACAGATCATGCTCAATTTAATAATGATTCGAATCTTAATATAATTGCACCAACTTTTATTGGTCTTGCACGAACTTTAATAACTGATTATGTACGAAATCGATTAAAACTTATTGATCTTCAAATACCATTAAATAATAATAATCAATCATCCAACATTTATTCATACTTTAATAGAATATATGATTAATTTAAGATATTCAACTGATACTTGTGAAGTTGTTCTTCGTCTTAATGATACAAATCAAAATCAAGTTCAACATTTAACATGGCATTATGAAATGTTACAAAATAATGATGATGATAAAGAAGAGAAATCTAAATACGAACAAATATCTATTATACCTAAACGAGATGTTGATCAAAAACCATTTCGACTTTGTGTACCACCATCTCGTTTTCTTTCTCAATTAACATGGATCGAAAAAAATAGAGAAAAAGAATTATCACCATTAGATATGGTAGACTGATTTTGCTGGATTTGTTGATCATATATTACCTCTTATTCATCTTATGTTAGAAGAAGCAAATGATTTATTTGTTCAACGTAAATTACATGCTGTTGAACCAACAATTTGTTATGAACCATCTCAAGTAATATAAGCATGATTAAGATATAATAGTGGCCAAGTTATGGATAAAACTGTTTTTCGTATAACTTCATCCGATCAACTATCGAATATTAACAAAAACCAATCGAATAATTTATTAGAAGGTAATCATATTTTATATTTTCTTTTCTTTTTTTTTTCTTTTGTCTTTTCTTTTCGTTCTGTTTCGATCGCATCGAAATATTTATTCATATACTCGAAAGAAAAGAAAAAAAAAGATATTCGTTGATATTTTTCACCTTTTCTCATAATTTTGTGGGTAGGTGTGCATGTATGTCTCTTCTTCTTTTCCATTCATATCCACATCCACCATCGATCCTAATAACGCTGACCGATACTTCTTTGTGTTATATAGTCATATGTGATTAACTAGTATAGGAAAGAGATAAAGTAAAAGAATAGAAATAAAAACACTTCGTTAGTCTTACTACTGAACCCAAACTCACATTCAAACTTAAACTGTCAACCCGTTTGGATTTGAATTTGAGTTTAGTGTATGTCTATCTAGAGCTACACCTTCACCTATCCTTTTATCTGAATTCATTGCGTAGTAATAGGATATATTTATCATCTAGATGTGTTTGCTATGCTCTTCTTAATTTTGTCTTCTCTTTTAATAATTTCGATAAGTAAAATATTTATTAGTTCTTGTTATGTAGTTATTTCTAAATAGATTTATCAAGGATAAGAAAAATAAAGACTAATAAAGAACGTAAGAAAAAAAAAAATTTCGTTCCAAATATCGTTATTTGGACAACGAAGAAAAGTATGAGAAATACAATTAACTATCGTCGAAGAAATGAAGAATATGAATATTGAATATTTCTCAACAGAAAAATATTTTATTATTATAGAAATTCGTTATAATCGATTGTTTTTTTAAGCGAAAATTCTTTCTTTTCTATTGATTTTTAAACATTTCTATAATTTTTAGGTAAGATTTTCATCAAAAAGAATCAATTTATATTCTTTTCTTTTAACATAAAATAATAATACTAAGAAAGTTAAATGAACTGAATAGATATTTTACAATAAGAAAGCATTTTTATGTAACAACTTCTAGTTAGACATCTCTACCTAAATCTATATATGGATGAATTACAATATTCTTATATTGTTTTATAAAAAACTTTACATCTCATTATTAATATCATTGTATATTATTATACTAAAGAAAAATATGTTTCATTTTTTCTAATTATTACTCTTGAATTATCTAACATATGAGATATTTTTTTAAGAATCCAGTTTAAGAATTTGAGACTAAACTATATTGATTAGTACACAACACATCTAATGCTGATTTTTTTTATCAGATTTTTAGTCTGAATCTTTAATCTTGTTTGTGTAATAGGAAATTTCTTCGTTGATTGCAATTGACATTATTTGTAAGAAAGCTATTTCATGTACTCAAAATCAGTAATTAATCGTCAATGATTTTCTTAGTCATTTTTAGCGGTAAACTATGAGATTTTTTACACGTGAACTTCTATTTTACTGTTAAATTTAGAAGATCTTATGACTGATTTAATTAGTGGATCTATGTTTTTGTTATAAAATTGAACATTCACATTAATTTATACGTAGAAATTATGTAACTAAATCGATAAATAAGAACTCTACATGCAATTTGATACAGTGAGAAAAAAATAAATACGAAAAAAAGATTGAAAAATTCTCTAAAATCGATGATTTGTATTTGTTTATTTCTAAAAGGCTTCTGTGCTTATTTATCATCGCTCATAAATTAAAAATCTCGAAAAAAGAATGAAAAAAACATAAATGAGAAGTAGAGTTGTAGGTTAGTATAGAATCATCTAAAATAAACTACACCTTATCGTAAAGAAACGTTTTAAAACGAATGATTGTGATGACAAGGTTTATAGTACGATCATTTTTGAAATTAATCATTGTAAATATTTTTGAGTTGTTCTTGTGTTGTTTTGGGTTGTTCTTGTGTTGTTTCAAGTTGTTTTTGTAATTCATCTAAAAACAAAAATAAAAAACATTAATGGCATTAAAATTTGTTTTCCTTTACCATAATTATGTTCTAATGCTTTAATATTTGCATCGAGATTGCTTTCGTCTTCGATTAGTTCATAAATCTCGTTTTGTAGTTCTTTCATTTTTTGTTTATCGGAATTTTCTTTGTTTTGCTTCATTCTTTTTAGTTCTTGTTCTTTTTCCTTCACTTCCTGCATTTTTTCACCTTTTGACATGTTTAGCCGCTTGATCTTTAAAATATAAGAAAAACAGCAAATATTTTTATATTTTATTTTTTTTAATTTACTTCTTCTGTTATTCTACGAATCTCTTCTTTTAAATCCTAAATTTAAAATTCAAAATTTTTTGTGAAATGTTCAAAATTTTATTACTTCTTTTTTATCATCATCATTGTTATCATCGTGATCATCTTCGGTATGACCATGAATATTTTGTATATCCATGCTAAAAATTTTATATTAATTTTAAATAAATCTAAAAATAAATATATATTTTTGTTTAAAAACAAATAAATTGCTTGTTAAATTTTTGATTATTAAGGATAAACTGAGATAAAGACGAATTTTCTACTGACTAGACGTATTACGAAGGAGATAGTATTTAAAATAACAAAGAAAAGACAATAAATAGACAGATGGAGAAAGAAAAGAAATAATATTAAGATAACCATGACCACCATATCTGAATAGTAGTGGAGGAAGTGATATTCTATGGATAACCGTCGACTTAAATAAATACTAGATTACAAAATAACTACAATTGAATAATTATTTTTAGATTTTATTCTCTTTTCGTAGAGAAGAGTCCAGTAAACATAAATTGTTTGTTTGCTTGTGTGTCCGCAAGGTCAAAAGAACATCGAAAATCAAATTTTAGAAAAACACATTTCTAGAGGTTTTTCGATGCGGCGAGCTCGAATCTGAGGTTTATTGGGTGACCACGATGAGGTGGGTGGGTGGGTGTGGGTGAAAGGTCAAAAGAACATCGAAAATCAGTTTTCTGGAAAAGACATTTCTAGAGGTTTTTCGATGCGGAGAGTTCGAATCTGAGGATTTTTGCGTGACCGTGTGGAGATAAGAGTTCACAGTTAAAAAAACATTGAAAATAAATTTTTCACGTTTTTTATTTTTTTTTCAGTAAACGTGAAGAAAATGCATTTCTACGAAAGAGCTGAGCGAGTCCTCGGACGAGCGTTACTTGTCTCTTAGTTCTGATTCTATCTAAAAGAGATAATTGAATTTTTGTTTTTCTTAAATTTTCAAAAAACAAATATAATAATTCAATAAAATTTAATATAATTAAATAAATCTTAAATACTTTTATATCTCTTTTCTTTTCTTTTCTTTAATATTATTCGAATTATCTTTGTTATTACATACAAACTCTTTAATTAATCAATTTTATTTTTAAACAATAATATTAAATCATCATCATTCATATAAAATCATCTTTTAGATATTTTTATATAAATTATTATCAATTTGTACAATCCTATAAAATAATAAATAAGATTTATCTATTCATTAACTGTTATTATCTTTAAATTTATATAGAAGTATATAATTTCTAATAAAAATAAATTATTTTCATAATAGTTTTATATTAATAAATAATCATTGAGAATAATTTTATTTCTATTTAACAATGTTTAAATAAATTCATATAAAATATTTATCTAAAAATATATTTTTATACTTTCAAACAAAATATATTTTCCCACATTTCAATGCATTTTTGACAATTTCATCATACAACTTAATCATTTTTTTAATCATTATAATGAGATGTTTTTCTTAAGAAATTCTACTTTGAATTGTCAATACAAATTAAAAAGTGATAAACACATCTTCCAATTGTTTTTTTTCCATCAAATTCCAATGAAGAAAAAACAACAACAAAACGATAACCTAGGGTATTAGTGTGGGTGCGGACATGATATTCTCTTTTTCATTCACACCCACACCATCAACTTGAATTTTGTAGCATTTCAAAAGTTTTATTACTGTTTTTATTTGGATTTTTTGGTTCATTTTTTCGCTCGAAATTTTTTTCTATTTTCATCTATATGAAAATCTTTTTAATATTTGCTTTGGTCAACAAAATTCATTTTGAATTCGATTTTTATTTCAGAGCTTTAATGGAAGATTCCTTTTCTCTTCATTTTCGAACAGCTTTCAAATTTTATCGAAGACAAAATCTTCTTCTTGAATAATTTCTGTTTAATTTAATTCAAAGTACAAAATATTTTCTTTTCTTATCTTTCACAAAATTGAACAAAAGATGAAGAATTTAATAATTCTTTGTTGGAACTTTTTAATCAAAACTATCAAATTAAATTGAATTTCCAAGAAAGAAATTCTAAAAGATTTTTCTTCAATCTTTTTTATCCAATAAAAAACGTTTTTCGTTTTTTTCAAAATCAAAATTTCATTCACAAAATTATTTCAAATTTTTGAACTCGATCATTAAAATAATCAGCAACATAAAGATTTCCTTCATTATCAAAAGATAAACCATGGGGACCACTTAATTGATTTGACTGACTTCCTCGGCCATTTCCACCAACAACAATTTCACCTTCTTCTTTTCCTTCACACCAACGCATTACTCGATGATTCCCATAATCTGCCACATAGATTTGACCCAAACCAACAACAATTACTCCTGCAGGATAATACAATTGATTAAGATTTCTTCCTTGACCATTTCGTCCAGCCACAGTTCTTCCTTGTTTTGCACCTTTTCTCCATTTCATCACACGATGATTGCGTTGATCTGATACATAAACAGATTGATCTTCATCAACAAAAATAAAACTAGGAATATTGAGTTGATTTCCTTTTCCATTTCCACCTGCCACTATAACACCTTCATTGTATTCACCCATTTTCCATCGTCTCACTTCATTCTTCTCTAAATCAGAAACATAAAGAAATCCATGTTTATCCATTGCCAAACCCCAACAGTCAATATCCTCAATGAGAATTTGTTGATTTTGATTCATCCATTGAATTACTCGTCTGTTCCCATGATCAGCAACGACGATCGAATGATTTTGTAGATCAACAATCACATCTGTTGGATAATTCAATTGATCTGTTCGATTTCCTTGCCCATTTCCACCTGCAATAGTTTGTCCTTCTTTTGTATTATATCTCCATTCAACAATACGATGATTCCAAGAATCAGCAATAAAAATATTTTTATTCTTATCAACGAATATTCCTCCAGGCCAATAGAGTTGATTTAATTCTTGTCCTTTTCCATTTCCACCAGCTACAGTGATGGCATCTTGTTTCCACTTACTGAATTTTGATACTAGAAAATAATGAAAACAAAAGGGAGTGGATGTGGGTGTGAGTGGTTCTTCTGATATACCCACACCGGAAAATTACAAAAAATAGAACACAGTTGTTCTATAATGGAAATGATACTATTAGATACTGAGTACTTTTGTTCTGTTTTGGAAATAGTACTTCCGATTCCATAACAGATTTGTTCTGTATTTAATTATTAATTTGTTTTGGACGACTGTATAATTTCAAATATGATTAGGTCAAATATGAATGCGTAAGTGAGCTACAAATTTGGAATTTAGGTATGGAGCTTATTTTTTTGGACCCAAGAAATATGTCGATTCCTATTTTTTCTTTTATAACAAAACTTTACCATTCTTTGTTGTTGTATGGAAATTTGTCGACGTTGTAAGCATTGTTGTTTCTGTTATCGACATTGTAGTTATTGCGGTTTTTGTTGTCGGCGTTGTTTCTGTTGTCAATGTTGTAAACATTGTTGTTTTTGTTATCGACGTTGTAAGCATTGCTATTTCTGTTGACGACGTTGTACGCATTTTTGTTGTTGTTGTCGACGTTGTAAGAATTGTTGTACCTGTTGTCGATGCATCAATTGTAGCTGTAGTTGTATTAATTGTTGTTTCGGTTTTTTTAATGAAAATAAACCATATTGTAATACTAATAATAGTTATTACGCTAAGAACGGCAATGATAATTAAAAGCAATATTGGTTTCCGATGAAATAAAGATCTAAAATCATAGATATATTTCGAATAAATAAACCAAATACTTACGATCCTGTTTCTTGACGAGTAGATTGTTTAATATTGTTTTTATTCTCTGATTCCAACTAAATATTAGAAAAAAAATTATTCATTTAGAATTCTTGGAAAAGTGTTGATTGTTCTCGTAACTAGCTATTGAATTTATTTAATTTGTTAATCTTTTCTTGAATAACAATAAAGAAAAATAAATCTCTTTCGGAAATATTTTATTTCGAGAATGAATATTTTATCTATTTTTAAAATTTATTTTTTGTCGAATAAAGATAAGAATATGTTTAACAGTTTTTTTAATTCTGTGTGAAAATTCTCAAAAAAAAGAAGTGAAATAAACAAATAATGAGAGATTTAATCTTAATTATATATATTTATGTTTCTATAAATAAAAATTCAACTTGAATCAATCGTTTCTATGTAGAATATTTTAGTCTGTGATGACATTAAAAATAATGCAACGATTTATGATGATATTTTTTTCTTATCGATGAGAATAAAATTATTGAAAAAAACAGTTTGTTAGTAAAAAGTATTAGTGAACGTGAAATATACTGATATAATTTAAAGTTTGTTTTATACGTAAAGAAAAAATATCTAATATTTATTTCTGTTTATTGAGATAAGATTTCTTCCGTTGTTTTTAACGGAAAAACACTCAAAAAGCTCTTCTTACATATTCTTCAAATTTGTCTTTCATACAGTGAAAATAATTCTTTCAGATCTTTTTTTCTAAAATAGTTATTCCATTTCGTGACTTTTTCTGACAAACTCATGCACGTAAGAAATCTACTTTCTAGCTAAATATCAAATAAAACAGAACTAGATGTGCTGGCCTAACATTAGTATTAAACTAATTTTAATACAAAACTAGCACCATTAAACACAGCAATACTTACTTTGTGTTCTGATGATGCGTCATATGTAGTTGCTCGTTTTTCAGCCAACTCTATATCTTCTTCTTTGTTATTGTTAATAAGAAGTTTTTTATATTCCATGTTTTGGTAATTAGATTTAGTTAACTTCCCAAGCGTTGAATGTGATGATACTGTAGTTGTTAC